AGTTAAAATTTATTGTAATCTGCAAAATGTTTTCGTAGTAATAAAATTTTTTTATTATCAATTGGAGTAGTGGTCCCTGGTCAAAGTAAATTAAAAAATTGAAATTTAGAATAAAAATATTAGATGTTTATAAATAACATTCTTAATCATATCAAGATTATCTAAAATTATAGAACATTTAAAAAATACAACTCATCACATTTAGAAAATTTTTGTAACTTTTTTTAATTTTGTTTTTAACATTTTATTATAAAAAGATACCTTAAAAATACTTATGAAATATTTAAATTATGTTATAAATGTGCAAATTAGTCAAATAACGTAAGCAGATTAAAAAAAATATTTTTTCTTGTGTGTATTCAAACTATTGGTTTGTACTGTATATTTTTTATTTATTATTTTATTGCACTGAAATACAGTTTTTGTGCTGAGAACTACTTGGTTACTTAACCCCACTATATACGTGCATATGGTTCTCTTTGTGGCCATTCAGTTACCACTATATTACAATCAACAGGAATACGAACGTCTGACAAGAAGTCGAACGTCGTATATCCATGGTTTAAAAAATATTTGTACCGTATTAATTGTATAAGTGTTTCAATCATTTTTTAACAAAAATGATCAATTTTTTTTCATTTAATATTTTGTATTTATTGTTCGTGCAAAATGTAGTACTAGCTCAGTTTAACAACGGTAAGTGCATATTTTGTAAATGAAACTTAAAGATGACTCGTTAAGTAAATTTTTATGTAGTAAGGAGAGTGTTTTCATGGTTTTACCGAGATGATTAATTTATAAATTAACGTAAACCGGTTTTTATACTTGTATAAAATAACATCCTCATCTAACTTAATTTGTCAGTTTATATTTAACTAAAATGTATAATATAATATACTAGCTTCTATTGTAAATATATTTAAAAAATATAGCTTAAAATTTTACTTATGATGACAATTATTAAAAAATTATACCAAACCGTTAATTATAATTTTTACTTTACCAAAAATTAAATAAATTCTGTTTATTTTGGCCAAATAATATATTTGTTTTGAAATAAAATCATCGTATATACTCATAATTATATGATTATTTTAATATTATTTTTTTTGTTAACTTGTAAAATAATATTAAATTAGCAAATGTAATAATTCTGTTATAATACTATTTGTAGATTGTTCAAAAGTTGATGAGGTAAAAAGAGAATGTATAATCATTAAACAATGTCCACCACTTTTGGAACTTGTTACAAATCAAAAAAACAATGCTACTGCTGTTGAATATCTTCGGAGTTTAACTTGTGGTTTTCAAGGTTTTGATCCCAAAGTTTGTTGTGTTCTAAAGCTTAACCTTTCGACAGAAAATGGAAATATACAACTTAATGAATCATTAGGGCAGGACAATAGTGATAACCAGACAATCATAAATGAAAAAGAAGAATTTTATACAAATCTGAACAATGATAATTTTACAATAAGTTTGAATAACACTAGTAATTTGGAAAATAATATTACCATGGAAGACAGCATTCGAGTTGGTCAGTTTGGTTATTATAATAATATAAGAAATAGGCCAAACTGGAATAGGGTCACAAACAAATCAACAGTAACGACTTTTCAATTTGAAAGTATTAAGCAATCAAAATTACCATTACAAACTGTATGTGGGTTAACAAAAGTAACACGAGATAAAATAATGGGTGGAGCTCCACCATTATTAGGTAAGATTGATTCATTTATTTGTTTAATTACATATACATATTACAAAATAATTAAAAGGCATTTTACGGTCTTAAAGGAGATTGGCCATGGATGGTAGCATTAGGATATTGNAACGTCTACTAGATTGATTAATTTTTTTCTAAGGCGATGGGAGGAGAAACGAGTAAGTTGTACTACTTAAATATTTCTGCTATAAAACAGAAAACAATCAAAACGGTCTATTATTTTTTTTAACATGTTTTAATACATAATGATTACTTGAACATTGTTCTCTTGATTTTCCTTAATACTAGAATAATTAATCTTATTATATAATAGAACAAGGAAAAAAACGCTTTCCGAGGAAAATTACTTAGGGTACTNCTATATGGTATTAAGAACTATAGCACGACTGGGTGAACTAAATTTAGATCCATTTATTGATGATGGAGCTTCACCTCAAGATATTTCAGTAATTAAAATAATCCCTCACGAATCGTATAATAGTAAACAAATTACGAACGATATTGCTTTGCTTAAGTTGGAACGATCAGTTCAATTTAATGGTAATATTAGTTTTAATTAATAACTATTTTAAATTTAATCTAAAGCGTATAATTGAAATNCTTCAAAATATTTTTTTTCAACAAAAGTAGGTTATTAGATTACAGGAAAATTTTTGCCACTCGTCTGAGAGCGTTTTAAAATTTTAACTGTTTTCGAGACGCCAGCATTTTACGATTAAAGATTTGAAATTTTTACTAGGCCCACCCAAAGACATTTCTGAGATATTATAAAAGAATTAACTCAATTCATTTTTGGCTTTGATGTGAAGCTAAAAAGATATTAATTTTAATATATGTTTTTTATTTTTTTATTATATTTCCTTTTGGGTCTATGACCAGTTTTTTCAGCTCTCGCCAAACCGATTTCTTTCAACGATACGTCAAAAGATCACAAATCATATCTAGTCAAAGACATAACCCTCAAAAATTGAAAAAATTTCCCTCGTTCCCCGTAAAGGGAGGAAATCACCAAAAAAATTACAAATTTAAAAATCGGTAATTTTCGACATTTTTTCAATTTTTTTTCTTCTTAAAACAGCCATAACTTTTTAAAAATTAACCAAATCAATAAAATTTTTTTTTTAGATACATGAGGTATTTACCTATCATTTGATATACTTTTTTTTATAAATCTGATCTTTTACTGTCCACAGATGGGGATTCAAAAGGACAACGTTTTCACAAAAAATTATCTTTTTTAACTTAACTTTTGAAAGTGTTCCGGAAGGTCTGACACTTTTATATATATCTTAATTTTAAACTAATGTAATATAATTTATTATGGAAAAAAAATTTTCAGACTTTATTTTGTCTTCATGGTGAAAACAGACATCTAAGTTAATAAAAAAAATACGATTTTTGTAAAAAAATGCTTTTTTATGTTTTTAACTTTATAATGCTATAACTTTTTGGAAAATGTATGGTTCAATATAATTTTTTTTATATAGATGCATGATGTCTTTACCTATCATTTGGCATATTTTTTTTTATTAATTTGACCCTTTACCTGACTACAGGGTGATTTAAAATGACAAGTTTTTCACAAAAAATTTACTTTTACACTTAACTTTTAAAGTTTTCCTTAAAGTCTGTCTTTAAAGTCTTTTATATATATCTTAAATTAAAGCTAATGTAATGTACTTTATTATAATAAAAAGAGCTACCAAATGCTTTTTTTGTGTGAAAATTTCGATTTTATTTTTTACATTTTTAACTTTATAATGCTATAACTTATTGAAAAATGTATGGTTCAACACAATTTTTTTATGAGAAATAATATGTATATCCCTTTTTTATTTGACATACTTTATCCTAATCAGGAATTAATAAGGAAATAGCAGATAATGTAGCTTTTGGAATAATCCATCTTTTTTTTAAAATTAAACACTATATAAAGATTTGCATCGAAGCGTTTTTTTGATAGTGATTTTAATCACTGTCAGATATCATTATACTTCATCCAACTATGCCACGTCACCACTGTGCCGCGACTCCATTGTATTACGTTTACCGTTGTACGAAATTTTTTTTTTTTTATGTCCAGGTGCATGTTTTGAAAAAGAGTATCATCTCATTTTTACACATATGTATACTTTAATCTTAAATTTTTAGAAAAGAAATTTTTAAGTCAATATTTCATTTTCATTTATTTTTAATACATATTATAGTTGTCATATATGAATTGATTGGGTTAGATTATTAACTATCTTATTGTTTTGATATTATGGTTATTATTTTTATATATTTTGTTTAGTTTATTAAGTGTTTAATTATGTTTATAATANCATTTGGGTCTATTACCAGTTTTTTCAGCTCTCACCAAACCGATTTCTTTCAACGATACGTTAAAAGATCACAAATCATATCTAGTCAAAGATATAACCCTCAAAAATTGAAAAAATTTCCCTCGTTTCCCGTAAAGGGAGGAAATCACCAAAAAAATTACAAATTTAAAAATCGGTAATTTTCGACATTTTTTCAATGTTTTTTCTTCTTAAAACAGCCATAACTTTTTAAAAATTAACCAAATCAATAAAAAAAAATTTTATAAATACTTGATGTCTTTACCTATCATTTTATATACTTTTTTTATAAATCTGATCTTTTACTGTCCACAGATGGGGATTCAAAAGGACAACTTTTTCACAAAAAATTATCTTTTTTAACTTAACTTTTGAAAGTGTTCCGGAAGGTCTGACACTTTTATATATATATATTAAATTTAAGCTAATGTAATATAATTTATTATGCAGAAAAAAAATTTCGGACTTTATTTTATCTTCATGATGAAAACAGACATCAAACTTAATAAAAAAAATACGATTTTTAGCAACATATTTTGAATATTTTATTAAAGAATGTTTGATAAATTATGTATAAATTTCAGAATAGTTATAAGTATATAAGTTAGTACATACATTATCAGAACAGTAAAGTATTAATAATCTTATTTATTTCATATATGATGAATAAGTTTATGAATTTATCGTAAAAATTAGGATCCATCTATGACAACTGTGTTGTCTAACGTCACAATTCAATAACTAATATTATTATCAAAATTAACTTTTTACATAATCCTAGGAATAATAACCTGCCAAATTTTTTTTAATCATTTTATAATATTAATAAAATTAGTATAATTAGAATACTATTAATTATTTTGTATATCAGGAGCGTATTTAATGGAATATAGGCAATTACCCCTCTTGAACGAGCACTATCAATATTTTTTAGGCGACTTTTAAGAAATATGGCAATAATAACCTTTTTTTTTATCATCATTTTGATTTTTAGAAAAAAAATTCTATAACATTTTTATTGGTAAAAAACATTAAATTATTTCTGAATACTCCTCAATAATAATAAAATATTTTTCAAAATTTATAATTCATAATATTCAAGAAAGATGTGACAATAAAAAAAAATATCTTTTACGTTCTAAATTATTATTTAAAAGCATATTTTACAATAATAATTTTACACTTTAATGAGTCATTCACATAGTGAAAAGAATTCAAATTTTTGAAATAAAAAAAAAGTATTAATTTATTAAAACTTTTGTGAGTATTATTTTAGTATAGTTGATCATTTAACATTTTAAGTTTCATCTATCTTTAGAAAGTTATCCCTAAAATCTATCCTTAGAAACAATTTATTTTGAAAGAAACTTGATATTTATTGTAGTTCATAAAAATGTACAAAATATAGTTTTATTTATTTTTTTGATTCATGATAAACATTATGTTTATTGTAATAAGAAAGTATTTTCGAAGGTAGTCTTCAATAGTTAAATACACTTATATTGTACATGTTTTATGTATTATAATAAGAACTTGGGTTTTAGCTTGGATAAAACAATTTTAGCTAAGAGAACTATATCTCATTTAAATAATAAAAATTTTCTTCAGAAATTGGCTGCTTTTTGATACTATCTTCATATATATGCAGTTTTTTTGGTTTTCGAAATTTTTTCAAATTAATTGAAAATGACTTTTTTACATTGCAACAACATAATTTGAATTTTTTATTACATTGACCAAATTACTTTTTCTATCCAAGTTGTGTAGTATGATACCTTAGTATAAACCCCAGGTGAATCTTTGAAACCACAGTTTTGACCAAAAGAAGTTATTCCGACTTGCAAAAACATCCCATACTCATAAATTGGATTTTTAACTTGAAGTGGTCCACCAGAATCTCCCTAATAAAAAACAGCGAAAAAATTGAAAATAATTAAGTTTTAATTTTAAATATTAATAAAAGTTAATGAAAGATTTTGTCTTTTACTCTGCATGTATCTTTTCCATCTTCATCAGAACCTGCGCATATTTGACTCATTTCAAGAATGCCGTTTGGCAATTTCATATTTTTTAAATTTTTGGAGTAAGTTTTATTACATTGGTTAACTGGTGTGAAATTTAAAGTCACTTTTAATAAGTCATCACTTGCTGGACCAGCTATAAAATAAAATTAAATAGAAAACTATACTATTGCTCGTATATGAAAAAAAATTGTAACATTTAGTAATTTTGAATATAATAATACAAATGGAAAAGTATCATAATATTTTAATGGTAAAATTTTAATTTAATTTTATGTATTAAAATGAAAAAGTACAGACCATCTTCAATTTGTCCCCAACCAGTAGCTATTAACTCGTTTGTCACTAAAGAAGGGTCTGCATTTAAACAAATTGGTAATATATATTCCGAAAAAATAACTTCCTTTGCTAGTTTATATAAAGCTATATCATTATATCGAGATACAGTTTGACGGTAGTCTGGGTGTGATACNTACAGTTTGCCGGTAGTCTGGGTGTGATACACGAAGAATAATATCATAATCTTCAGGTTTTGCATCATCGGTTTCATCTGCATAATTAAGTTCACCAAGACGAACCCATCGTGAAATACCACTAAAAAAATATTTAAGTTTTTAAGTGTTTTTTTAATGATTAAAATGAACTTGCATTGTTTAATATTTATTAATTAACAGCTATTCAACGCCAATTCATTCAATGTGCATTATATTATTCATATTTTTATTTCAGTTTTAAAGCTATTATTTCATTAACACGATAATAGTGAAAATTTAATCAATAAATTATTGAATACTTTTAAGTCTTTAAATATAGAGTATTCGTTCAATCAAAGACTAGCACAATAGTTATTAATCATGCGAGTAGAGTTTATTAATATTTGATAAATTAATATTAATGATAAACATTGACTTACAATGTCACCGAACGTTCACAATGGGCTGCTGTTAAAACCCATTCTTTACTAATTAGAGATCCACCACAATCCCAATGAACATTGCTGATTGAATCACCATACCCAATCATAGCCTTAAAGAGATTATTGAATATTCAACACGAAAAATATTTATTTAATATAACTAGTTAATTTAAGTATAATAAAATGAAATATAATAAAAACATTTTACAAACCATGTGTGGAAATTCTTTTGGTTTTGTTTTAGTTCCACCAACGATATCTACTTTGTCACCTTCATTCTTTACGAGTTCTTCAGTTATTATTGACTTCTTATTATATTTTCTATAATATGCTGAGTATTGATGACACACTGAAATGTATAATGTCTGAAACTATAGTTTTATAAAAAAATAATAACAATAATTACACATACTTTCAGAGGCTGTATATGATATTTTAGTTTTTAAAGGTTCTGAGGTACTAGAATTTCTAATTTTGTTATTTCCAGGACAACATACAATTGGTTCCAAACCAACAAATGAACAAAGGCGAATATTTTTCCGTTGATGAATATTTTGAGCGGCAATACAATCTTGGTGACGACGGCAAATATAATTTGGAATATTATTTTCAAAATTTGTACACACCTCACCTAGTCAAATAAAACAACTAATATAATATATTATAATATTGAAAAATAAAAAACAAAAGATTTATAAGTGTAAAACTCAAAAATTAAATCAGAGATTCAATTTTTTTTACTTTGCCAAGCTACTAATATAATTAATGTATACATTGCTATAAATTATAACTTATATACCTTCATTCAATTGTAGTAAGTTGCCGCGACANATATAATTAGTATATACATTGCTATAAATTATAACTTATACCTTCATTCAATTGTAGTAAGTTGCCGCGACAAATTTTTAAATTGATAATACCACACACTATTATTGTTAAAATATTCATTTTGCTTTAATAAAATTTTCTATAATATGTAATGTATAAGTGTTCGTATAATTTTTTAAGCAATTAATGCTATTTTAATAACGTTAATATCATCATTGAAGAAAATCCGAATAGCTACTAACCACTTCGATGTATTAGCCAACCATTCCTACTGTATACTACACATATGCATTACAATTATACAGGTTTTTTGCTAAATAGTCTTCTGAGTTCTTTCAAGGTTCCTCTTATTAATTTGTTGTGTTATCACGTAAATAATGCGTGCTACATAAAAATAATCTGAGTTATACAAGTTTTTTTCAAAAATTATTTCGTTAAATGTAACACTAATAAGGTTAATTTGTTTAGAATTTTTTTAATTTAATAGATCCTATGAAGACTTAATATTTATAAATTAACTAAATTTATGATGATTTTGCAGAGTACCAAGTTTTTTGATAGGTCATGTATAGTATTTATTTATTTAAATTAAATTACTCATAATTAAAAAACAAATTTTTTTTATTAATATTAAAATCTCAATTGCGTGATAACTTTTGAAGCAATCGTGTTAAATCGCCCCCCTACTATGATTGCACATTATTCTAGCATTTTTATAAAAGTATGAATACATTAAAATGAGAAAACAAGNCTTTTGAAGCAATCGTGTTAAATCGCCCCCCTACTATGATTGTACATTATTCTAGCATTTTTATAAAAGTATGAATACATTAAAATGAGAAAACAAGTTACAGACCATATCTGCATTAGTTGCTTATTAACGCTGCTCGTTGAAAGTACCTATAACCGATGTAATATAAATTATTTATAGCAAAATATTAAAAATTAAGTATTATGTACATGTTATTAATTTATTTTTAAAAATTGGTAGTTTTTATTTCAACATGAATACTGTAATAGTGATTATTATTTTAAATGTTTTTATGGCATTTAGTATCGATAGATTATCTGGTCAGTCAAGGAATGGTTAGTATTCAATTAGTTATTTATAAATTAGATAAAATTTTATTTTTAATAGTTTTAATGAAATTAAATTAAATTATAACAGATAATATTAGTTTATGTTAATAAAAAAAAAATTTAGCTAAATTTCTTAAAATATAAATTTTCTTTGATGACAAAATTATATATCTAATAAAATGCGTAATTTTATCATGTTTCCAGTAATTTTAAAATGAAAAATTGAAACTTTTGGGTTTATTCTAGGAAATAAAGATTGTTTTTCAATAAATGGAGAAATTAACGATTGTATAAACATGAAAAATTGTTCTTCAGCTCAAATTTTTTTAGAAAACTCCAAGTCAATTGATAATTATATTTGTGGATATGAAGGAATCAGCCCTAAAGTTTGTTGTGCAGTGAGTAATTTAAATAAAAGAAGTTTTTATTTAACTAGTGAAGAAGATTATGAAGATGATTCTTCTACCAGAGAAACTTCGAGTTCTAGAATAACATCTACAACAGAATCTTTGCCAAGTACATTATCATCAAAATTGCCTCTTCAAAGTGTTTGTGGTAAAACAAACGCTGTTCGTGATAGAATAATTGGAGGAGAGTCTCCTAAGCTTGGTTAGAAAAATCATTATATGACACCAAGTTTTAAATAATTTTAATTATTATAATATGTGTTTACTAATTTTAATTATTAGCTGATTGGCCTTGGATAGCTGCATTAGGCTATCGTAATACGTATGAACCAAATAATCCAATACAATGGAAATGCGGTGGCACTTTAATAGCAGATAGTTATGTACTTACAACTGGATATTGCACATTGGGAAACAATCAAGCAAAACTGTACGTTTTATAAAACAATTTTATCGTACTAATTAATATTTATTTTATCAAAAGCATAATGACTAATATTTTTTTAGATCAATTGTTCGTTTGGGTGAATTAAATCTGGATCCTAAAATTCAAGATAACGCTTCACCACAAGATTATATAATAGCTAAAATTATAGTACATGAACAATATAACAGTCAAAAATTTTTGAATGATATTTCCTTGCTCAAATTGAAAAACCCGGTTCGTTTTAACCGTAAGAAAATGATAAAAATAAATATATTTAATTCATTGTACTATAATTCTTTTTGCAGACTATATTCAACCAATTTGTCTGCCTTGGACACAAAAATTACGTATGAAATCATTTGTAAAATTTGTACCTACTATTGCCGGTTGGGGATCACAAAGTCCAAGTAAATATTCCTTAAAAATTTCAATCGATATTGATAGTTAAATAATTATTTAAATAAAAAAAGAAGGATAAACATTTTTTATCAATCTAAAATTTGAGATTTACTAGAAACTGAAAAATTTAATTTATCAAATTGAAAGTCTTACACATTTTATTGCACTAAGAGTACAAGAAAGTCATATATCGAAATGCATAATAGTTGACATCATTTTTTCAGCACTGATGACAATAACTTAGTGGTTAATATACAAAATCGCAATTTTTTACTAAGAATATTTTTCGGGTTATAGAGTTAATTATGTTATTATTTAGACATAATTTAACATAGTTCACTATCAAAATATGCAAGCTTGATGTGTGACATTCGATTTTAATTTTATATAAATGCTGAAGAAAAAACAAGTGATATAAAATGTAATTTATGAAAGGTCATTAATTTGTAGCCATTATATCAAAACCATTTTTTCAACATTCTGCTCTATTGCACTCACAATTTGGCTTAAAGGGGAGAGATATTTACAAACATTCTTTTTTTTTCTTTAACACTAAAATGTATAAAATAGGACTCCTACTCTAGATACCATTTTGGTAAAAAATTATTTACAAAACTTTAATTGAACTTATGAAATTAGATGGGCCGTTAAGTACATCATTAATGGAAATTGGACTTCCTATTTTGGATAACCAAAAATGCAATGCATCTTACGCAAATCTTTCTGTTAAAATTGATTCTAGAGTTTTGTGTGCAGGCCATACAAAAGGGGATGCCGGAGTTTGCCAGGTAAAAATAATTAAACAAAAAAAAAAAAAAATGACTTTTAAAAAAAAAATTTCAGGGTGACTCAGGAAGTCCTTTAATGTTACCACAAAATAAGAATTGGTATATTCTCGGTATTGCATCATTTGGATATAAATGTAGTGAATCTGGTTATCCAGGAGTTTACACAAGAATTACATATTTTATTGATTGGATTATTGAAAAAATGAACAGTAGCTGATTTGAATTATCATTTTAACACAATTTTTAAGTATTATACTTACATCATTATAACTATAAATATATCAAATAAAATAATTTAGTATTTTTGTGTTATCAACATACTTAAAATTATATTACCATTTACATTATATGGTAATCATAGTACGTAAATAATGGTAACTATGGGCAGTATCTTTAATTACTATAAATGTCTTAACAAACTATTTTGTTGTTGCCAACAATCAAGAATTTTATACATTTAAATTATTTACAACTGCTTTTAAAATTAAAAATGTTGAAATTCTAGTATAAAATTGATATAATAAAAAGAAGATAAAAATTAATTTCTAAAATACAAGGAATGGATCAGTCATAAAATAAGTTGCGTTTTTTTTATCATAATTATTAAATTAAAATAGAATAAAATTGTGAGTACTAATAATCTTTTTCATGATCGTAATTGCATACAATGTAGATTATCAGTTATTTATGATGTCAATAGTTAGCATCATGATTTACATTGAAAACGTTAATTTTTAGTGAATTCCAATAATAAAAATTTTAAGGATGTTATTTACATGTGAATAATTTATTCTTATCATGTGCATACCAAGGGGAGACAAAGTATATATTCTCCCATGGGATCAACCACTATTAAAAATAATATGATATCTGACTTTGGTAGATTTTAGTTAAATTATTATTAGTATAATTGAGTAACCTAAATTAAAGTTTTTTAAAGATTTCGTTACGTTATTGTGTGATCGTACATGTAATTAATAGACAATAATATGTATAGTTAAAATTGTATAATTTACACAATGTAATAAAATACATAAGTAGGATTGGTAGAAATTCAGTATTTTTAGCCATGATATCATATCAATAGTCATAACAAATAATAGATATTATGTTTATGACCATATACATATTATATGTATGTATGTATAATACATATATATTTACATATTTAATATAACGCCTATAATAGTAATAACAATTTGAAAAGTATTTTACAATGGTATGTGTTATTTATTTTACATACAAAAATATAAATTAACTTATTTTGTATTTTTTAACAATAAGTTTTCCATGTAATATCATTAAACAATAAACCCCACAGCTTACTTTGTAAGCAGCACACTCGAAAAATACCTGATGACTAAAAAAAATCATAAAAATAGCATATTTGATAAATCCTCTCAAATTCTTTTCAAATTTCTGGGTAGGTTACTGATTTATATTCTCTAAAAAACATATATAGTATTCACTCAAAATAGCCTAAGAACTTCTAGGTTAGTTATACCAAAATTTCATGAATTTAGTCATTGTTTTTCAATATTTTAATTTAAGCTACTTGCGCAATCTCTTCTTCAGAGTAAAGATAACATTTTCTTTGCCTTCGCCATTGTGATTAAATATTACTGCATGTGCTCTGCGAAGCATATCTTTGAAGGTCATAACTAAACATCTCGTTTTAATTTAATTGAAACATAAATTTGAATTATAAATGACTAATATACCAAGTTAAACAATATTTAGTCATCAAATTTTCATAAGACTGAATAAAATTGAGGTTTTACCAAATGATATGTTTATGAATGTAATTTTTTTAAAGAGTGTACCCTTACATAAATTACGTAATCCAGCGTACTAATTTAAAAATGCATATTAATTATATATTTATTACCATTCTTCTTTATAAAATATTTGTAAATAGGTGGTATAAAATTGAAAATAAAGAAACTATCCTTGATTCAATATATGACCAAAAGCAAAAATAAGATATTATTTATTATACATTATTATCAATGCAATTTAAAAAATTTCAAACAAATAATTTTACTATATACCATTATTAAATTAGTTAGATTTCATCAAATGTATTGATTCAACAATTTTTATTTAATATTTAACATATTTATTTTAATTATATGTTTAATTAGCATTACTAATTATTCAATAATTTTTTAATTTAAGATTTTTTAAGTTATGATACTTCATTAAATTTATGGTTTTGTTTCAATTTTATTAAGAGCTGAATATTTTTTTGTAAATCTACATTTTTTTAATTAGCTTTAAAAAAAAATATTTATATTTAGATTTAATGTGTTTGATTATTATAATTGTTAATATATCCCTATATACTGTTTATTGGGTTTCTATATTTAGCTAGACTGAGGTAATACTGCATAGAAAAGTTTTAAACATATTTTATAAAAAGAAATTTTATTATATAATTGATAATAGTATTGTTCGTGTAATATTATTAATTTTTTATTATTAACTTCAAAATATTAATTCAAAAAAGTTACATAGAATTTGACATTTCCATATGGAATTGTTATTAAAAATAATAATCTTTTTTTGGTTTTATATAGATTAAAATTTTTAAATATAAAAAGGAAATTTATAAAATGAGCCAAATCAATATATTTCATTCAAATGTTTTGTTTTTGGTTATTGTTAATTTTATACGCATAAATTATTTACAAATATAAAAACATTCAATAAAAACCCACTTTATTTAGGATCGTACAACATAGCTTATAATTTACAGTGCTGCCACATATCAACATTATTATTTTCATAATAATAGCAAAATTATATAATAAAAATTATTTAAGAGCAAAATTAATTTTTTTATTTATTTACACCTTATTTCAATACATATTAGTTATATTTTATTTTTTTTTTAATTTATATATACTGGAAAAATTTATTTTTAATTTTTTTTATTAGGCTTATTAAAATTCTTATTATTTAAAATTCTTTGTAAATATGTTATTACATAGAATATAAAAACGAGTACTTTAATGTTAAAAAGAAAACTTGTTATTTTTTGAGTAATACAAACACTAAGGTATGACAGGTTGGATACACCATAGTGTACTTAATATGTAGTTAGTATGCCTTGTTGTGAACTATAACGCAATTCAACTCAAATAACTAGTCACTGTTACACCATAGGTTGTTCAACGCGAAACATTTTTAAAGAAATTTTCAGTGCGTGTTTAATCAGTTATAAAAGTAAAGTTCAAATTATGGAAAAATATTTTTTAAATTTTTAATTATTTTATGAAATTTTTTATATCTATTAGGTATATTTAATAGATATATTTTATATTTAGTAGAGGATTTTTCAAAATCTGTTATCATGTTTACTAGAGAAAAGTTAATATTGGTATGCTATCTTGTGGTATTACTTTTTAGTGGACTAGGTTATACTGTCACTGAAATACGAAATGCTACTCAAGCCATAGTAAGTATTCAATTTATTCATGTTAAAATATTTACCAAAAAAAAAAGGGAGTCAAGGCATTTGAGCTAACATCCAAAATTTAATTTTTAAATAAATTTGATACTATGTAAAGTACTTTTGTTTTTAATCTAACTATACATGATTTTTTTAGTGAATGGTTAACTTACTTACAATTTATTCATAGAAAAAAAATGTTTAATGTTTTTCTGTATACATTAGTTTTAAATATGACTAAAACTAAATTATAATCTGTACATTAAAAAAATATATATATAAAGAAAGCATGGAGGTAGTATTTTTAATAAACTATTTTGTCTATTTATTATTTGATATAAAAATAAAGAGTAATAATATATGTTATTAACGATTAGTGCTACATATAACCGGTTTGGTATAAAAATACATTCCTTAGTTCACGAGGAAAAACCTTGACTAAGCATCAAACATTTAAGCAATTAATAATTGATTATTTATAAACCTCCATTTAATTAAAAAAAAAATAACATTTAAGTTGAAAATAAAAATGCAATTGAAAGTGAGTTTCGTATGCGTTAAAAAAATAAAAAAGTGATATTTAGAAAATTAGAGTTTTTGAAAAATATTAACTCTATTAAAATATATTTATAGGCGAATGAGGTCTCCTTGACTAAATTAACCACAATAATATTTACGTATCTTAAATATTTTATTTTTATGCATGATTTTCATTATAATTAACCAAATATTATATTTTAGCTTCGATGCGAAGCGGAGAAGGTATTAATTTTACTATGATGTGTTTGTCTTTTTTTTTTATGTCTGTTACCACTTTTTCTCAGCTCTCACTGGACCGATTTCTTTCAAACATACGTCAAAAGATCACAAATCGTATATAGTTGAAGACATTACCCTAAAGAAATATCCAAAAAAATTACAAATTTAAAGTCGCTAATTTTCGAAATTTTTTCACTTTTTTTTCTTAAAACTTCCATAACTTTTTCAAAAATCAACAAATAAACATAACTTTTTTTTGTACTAAAACCTTAGATATCTACCTTTCATTTGATATCATTTTTTTAAAAATCTAACACTTATTCTACTCATTGGGGAGGATTTAAAATAGTAACTTTTTTACAAAAAATAACTTTTTCAACTTAATTTTTGAAAATGTTCCGGAAATACTGCGTCCTTTAAACATATATCAAATTAAAGCTTATTTTATGTACTATAAAATGAAAAAAAAAAATTTGTCCCGACACTTTATCTTCTGCGTGTAAACGGCTGCCGTAGTTAAAAAAACGCTATTTTTGTGTTAAAATTTTCGATTTTAAATTTTCAATTTAAAAATGCTATAACTTTTCGAAAAATGTAATTATCAGCACAATTTTTTTTTT